ATCCTCACAATATTCTCCCGAGGTCTGTACTATTACTACCCTATTTATTCATGAGACCGAGGGTCGGCAAGCCAAGGGTCTCACAGTTTCACAGTTAGGTGTTAGGAATGGGAATTGATTCAAGAACTTGATTCAAGAACTAATGAGCTTGAAATCTACAGAATACCTGGAAGAAGAGAGGATCCAGGATGATCATGTGGGTATTTAAAGGTGCTTTGCTTAACTCTATGCTGTACTCTAATATGGACAGTTAAATACATTTGCCACCTGAAAGAGGCAAGAAGTTGAAAATGTCAGTTAATAAGAATATGRCCCTGATGGACAGCTCAGAAACTAGTCTCTGCTAAGTTCTGAAACGAGTGACCACTAAGTCAAAATTAGCTGCACTGACCCTCCTCTCTCTCATGCAACACTTTGTTTTCCAAGTTTGCTTTAAGCTCTCACTGTTCTCTGTGTCTCTATGGAAAAATGCAAAGAAGGATCGAGAAGAAAAACAGTGCAATTCACCCCAGGATACTGTAGAGAAGCATCCTTCATTGTTTGGGTCCCATTATTTTCAGGGGTAGCCAGTTCAGTCCCCTTGGCGAATTGCTTCAATCACATTGCCGTGGGCATTCAGATTCTTCCTACTCTTCCATCAGCTAGTGCTTACCGAGGGCTATTCCGAGTGCATTATGTGAAGGATTCAGATGATACAGACGTCTTGGCACATTTTTTTTTTCAGAGAGTTTACGTTCCAATTTGGGGATTGGAACTAACACAAAGAAGATAATAGACAATAATACAGATAATAAAGGCTAAGCTAYGGTCTATGGTACTGGGATAAAGGCAATGGTTTTTAGGTACATGTTTAACGACCAACTCTCTCAAAGAAAAGAAGTCTTGATTCTTTTAAGTGTTTGTTAACTTTTGTATTAAAACAATTTCTTTCCAATCAGTTTTTAAAATTTGTTCTTTTTCTTTATTCATGACAGTTGAGGATCTCTTGACATATTTATACAAACTATTTCCTCATAAAAGATTTCAATCTCTCAACTTGAAATTGTTGACCGTGAAGTTAGGAAAGGGGAGTGATGTGTGCAATCTGTTCTGGTGGTTTGGTGTGAGCAGATGCGAGCACCGCACTGGGCACAGGCTTTATGAAAGGCAGGGAAGAGAGGGGTGGGATTGTTATGAGTAGATTTCATGGAAGTGATTGATAGGAAATGAACTGTCTTGAAACACTTCTCAGAAACAATTTTAAAAATTAAAAATAGACCCATTCTTGTTTGATAGATTTAAAATTTTTCTATGTAAGCTGAAAATGAGAATATAGTATTTTTAGCAGCTGTATACCAGAGAGGTATTGGGATGGGTGAGGATATACTTCCAAGCACTGAGGACTTATAATCTGGGTGGGTACCAGGGAGTGAAGGACACCATAGTGAATCCACTCAAAGAATTKTAAGTCTCGAAGTGACAGATTTGCAGAAATCAAATCTTACTCGTGGACAAATAAGAATCTTATTAGAAATTAACTTTAATGTTGTACAATATAAAACAGTACAATAAAATATGGTATAGTACAATTTGATATGATAGGATACAACGAATACAATTGAATGCCAATTTTAAGTAAAAATTTAGGTGAGTTTTGACAAAATTTGTGCACCTGTCTTACCATCTCCTCAATTAAAAWATTGTCCTTCACCTCAATTATTTCCGTTGTGGTTTTTCCCCAATCAATTTCCAACCAATTCTGGAAAACACTGATCTGTTTACTAGTGGTATAAGTTAAATTTGTATATTCTAGAGTTTTATATTATAAATAGAGTTAAACTGCATTACCTCTTTAGGGTCTGATTTCTTTGATTCGACATAATGTTTTTAAGATCCAGCCATGTTGCTGTTTGCATTAGTGATTTATTCTTTTTATTGCTGAGCAGTATTTTATTATATAGATTCATCATAATTTGGACATGTAGGTTGTTGGCAGTCTTTGGCTTTTCGAAAGAGAGATGCTAGGAATATCCACACAAATATCTCTATGTGAACATGTTTTTATTTCTCTTGTGTAAATACTTAGGAAAATTTCTGAAGCATAGATTAAGTATAGATTTAACTTTCTAAAAAAAAAAAAAAAAAACGGCAACATTGTTCTCCAAATTAGTTATACCACTTACATTCCCTCTAGCAATATGAAAGACTCCAATTCCTTCACTTTGTTATGGACATTAGGTGTTGTTAGACTTTTTAATTTTAGTTGTTTGAGTTGGTTTGTAGAGATGTCTCATTCTGTTTCATTCTGGTTTTATTTTACATTCCTTTGATGACTAATGATGTTGAACATCCTTTCATGATGATTATTTCTATATATTCTTTTGTGAAATGTCTATTTAAATATTTTGCCAATTTACCAATGTGTCTTATTATTGAGTTACAAGAATTCTTTATATATTTTCTGGATACAAKTTTTGATTTATTTATGATGAATGGTTTTTCCTACTCTGGGCTTATCTTTTTTTGTTGTTTGTTTGTTTTCAACAATGTCTTTTGAAAAGTAGAAGCTTTTAGTTCTGATAAAGTTCAGTTTGTGATCTTGTTCTTTATGAATTATGCTTTCTGTTACCTAAGAACTCTTTGCTTATTTTAAGGTCATGGTGATTTCATCCTTTATTTTCATCTAGATCTTTTGTAGTTTTCTCTCTTATACATTTCTGTGATTCATATCGGGTTATTTTGTGTTTGTCTTGTGTAAAGTTTGAGATTGATTTTTTTCCCCCATGTGAATGTTTACATGTTCTACCGACATTTGTTGAAAATACTACCATTGAGATGCCTTCCATTTTTATGGAAAAATGAATTGAACATATAATTCTGGTTCTATTTTTGGACTCTACATTTTCTTTCATTGTCTGTCCTGGCACTGATACCAAATTGTCGTGATTACTAGAATCTCTCAATGAAGTAGAGTGAGTCTTTTCATTTTGTAYTTATTTTTCAAAACTGGTTTGCTTGCTTAATCCTCTGTATAGCCATATRCATTTTAGAATGGGAACATGTTTTATTATCCTGAGTAGAGAATTGGGTCCCCCTAATCTGAAGTGGGTCATTGTGGATCTAGGAATTTGAACAGAAAAGAGATCTACTTTAAGGAAAAGAATCCACTGAATGTGATGTTGAGTAGATGTAGCTCCAAACTACTGACTACTACTGATTGGTTGGATTGCTGATGAAATCATCGAGGAGGGTCACACAACCCGAAAAGTGCTGGTTCACTTTCAAAAGTACAAAATCTAATTCCTATAATTAGATCAATTATGATGGCAAGACTGACAAATAGAAAAGCCAAGAGAGAGATAAGTTGGAGAAATGGGGAAAAGAYTGGTGATGGAAATGAGAGAGTTGAGCAATATAACATAAAAATAACAGGAAAGAAAAATGTGAGGGATATTATGGAAAGAGAAAAAGCCAGGGCCAAGGGTCAACCAGAGGACAGGARATGGTAATCATGCTGTGGGTGGACTGAGCTGGTTGGTGGAAGGTAACTGCGTGAGTGCTGGAAAGATGGGCAAAAAAATGTGTCATCGTGGAGACCAAGGTCAGAGAATGTGTCCAGGAGGCAGGGGTCAGAAGCATCAAACGATGCAGAGAGGCATGAAAAAGCAAGTCTAACAGTTTTAGCAGTGGACACATCTTCAGCCACATGTGAGCAAACAACTTCACGAGCATGATCATGCTCACGCCAACTTGGAAAGAATTATGGAGGTTGAGGGAGGGAAGCCTATTTCAATAATTCTGAAAATGAAGAGAGATCAATGAAACCATCACTGTAGAGAGCCGCAGGATCAGCTGCATGGTCTCCATACAACTTATATATGCTTCCCCTCCCTTTTTGTTTTGTTTTGTTTTTAATCATTGGGGATTGAACCTAGGGTCCCAGTGGCACGGAGCTGCATCCCCAGACCTTCTTAGTTTTAATTTTGAGGTGGGGTCTCTGTAAGCTGTCCAGTCTGGCCTTGAAGTTGTGATCATCTTGCCTCAACCTCCCACAGGGAGGGTAAATGGGCTCACTTTCAAACAAAGGGGACTCATGTGTGGTGCTTCCTATAATTGGATCAAATTAACTGTTCATCAAATTTTTAAAAATAGATGTCAGTTGGGTTCCAAACTGCTGGCAGAATCTGTCTCCTCTCAACCTTGGAGTTTACATTCCCTTGTCTATGTCTCAAGTTGTCTTACAGTGAAAACTAAACAATATTTTCTCAGTTCTCAATCACAACCCCGTCTTCCTGACGCATTCAAAAGGACTACTGAAATAACAAAAGAGAGATTTTTTTTTTTTTTTGGATGGGACTGGAGTGATCGATTTTGGTGGACCGATCATTGCAGAAGACGTCTTGTCATTGTTCTGCTTTGAGGGTCTGATGAAACATCCGGACCCTATTACCTCTCCGAAATCAAGTTCTTACATTCAGAATTCAATCTAAACACCGGGGAAAAGGTTACTGGGGATCTGATCGTCAAATCCAACGACCGCTTTGCAAAGTCTGTCTAGCTTGCATACTTCATAACTGCTGTATCATTTTGTTCCCAAACACTTATCTTTATGGCTTCCTTGACATGCACTTTAGTGGTATTCGTTCTTGTTAAGAGGGTTTGAGTGCTCGATATTGTTATGCATTGGAACAGAACCTGATTTCCTCCTCGCTGTTTCTCTTCCCTTTCTGACATCAGAAGTGTCTGTGAGATGATCATGTGCTCAGAAATCTCCCGGTGCAGAAAGTTTGCTCTGCAGGGATAGCGTTCACCTGTGTACATCCAAAGAAACATTGAAAGCATTTTTTTTTCTCTCTCTCTCTGTGCAAGGACCCTAAACAAGAACTTGCCGGTCACAAAGGAGGGAAAAGCTCACTCTCTCAGTTTAGCCATCATTGTCCTTTGTTTTAAAATCCAGTTGCCRATGAGAAGTTTCCCCCTTGATGATTTGTTCTATTGCTTTCAGACCCTGGTAGAGCAGAATGCAGAGAAAGAACCTCACGGAAGTGACAGAATTCATCTTCTTGGGATTCTCTRGCTTCGGAAAACATCAAACCACCCTCTTTGTGGTCTTCCTAACCGTCTACATTTTCACYCTGGCTGGAAACATCATCATTGTGACCATCACCTGTGTTGACCGTCACCTCCACACTCCCATGTACTTCTTCCTGAGCACGCTGGCSAGTTCAGAGACGGTGTACACACTGGTCATTGTCCCGCGAATGCTTTCCAGTCTGGTGTTTTATAACCAGCCCATCTCCTTACCAGGTTGTGCGACTCAAATGTTCTTTTTCGTCACCTTGGCCATTAATAATTGCTTCCTTCTCACAGCGATGGGCTACGACCGCTACGTGGCCATCTGTGCGCCCCTGAGGTACACGGTCATCATGTGCAAAAGAATGTGCGCCGGTTTGGTATGTGGGTCCTTTGGCACTGGCCTGATGATGGCGACTCTCCAGGTGACAGCCATGTTTAATCTGCCCTTCTGTGGCACAGTGGTGGACCATTTCTTCTGTGACATTCACCCAGTCATGAAACTTTCTTGCGTGGATACCACTATCAACGAGATCATTAATTATGGCGTGAGTTCATTTGTGATTCTTGTGCCCATAGGCCTCATAACCATCTCCTATATCCTGATCATCTATTCCATTCTTAAAATCGCCACTGCTGAAGGTCGGAAGAAGGCCTTCGCCACCTGCGCCTCCCACCTGACSGTGGTCATYGTCCAYTACGGCTGTGCCTCCATCGCCTACCTCAAGCCCAAGTCGGAGAGTTCTGTAGAGAAAGACCTTCTTCTCTCTGTGACCTATACCATMATCACTCCCCTGCTGAACCCTGTTGTGTACAGTCTGAGGAACAAGGAGGTCAAGGATGCCCTGCGCAGAGCTGTGGGCAGAAGCGTTTCTTAACAGATAGATGGAAACCTTTCTGGCAGGAGACCTTCAACCCAGTGTGGTGTGTGTCTACTTACAAATAAGCCGCAGCACAAATGTTCATCAAATACAGCATCTGGCTACAATAATGTCAGACAGCAGACGTATTTTTCTTTTTAATATTCTGGGGATGGCAGAAAGCACGGTTTCTGCTCCAATGTTTTGTTACCAGGTATGAGAGTCATTCCGTTTTGGAGACCTCTTTTGCCTCCCACTCGGTCTCTGACAGTCACATCCTTGACCTGGTCTGGTATAGGGCTATGGAGCACAGGTCATTGGAATGTAGGTGGTAGGGGGCTTAGGAAAATAGCAGCTTTCATTTCCCTCTTGAGAGGGAAATGAGAAAGAGCTTTCTTTCTTGAGAAAGAACTTTCCTTGTCCAAAGTTAAAAAAATGCTCTCTGTAACAGTCATTTTAGAAAATATTTTCTTAATTCTTGTTGATTGAAAAATGAAGAACTTTCAAAAAAAAAGATCCCTTTCATTATCCAGCAATATTAGCTCTTTAATAATATCCATTTCTATGTGTATTTCTTTTTCTCTGCAGTAAAGGCAAAAAATCTCTGCTATTCCCTAGAGGCTAAGCAGGAAAAGCACATAACTACAGTTTTCAATAACTACATTTTAAAATCCATATACACTTTTCATAAAGACTCCTCCTTTTAACCTATGGACACTTGAAAGATTTTTAATTTTTATATAGAGCCTGCAATGCCATTGTCTTAGGTATGGATTGTGCTAATTCCAGAGTTCAAATTAAATGCCATTAATTTTCATTCATGCAGTAAATAGTGCAAACTTTATACTTCTCCAGGAACTTGTTTATATTAAAGTAAACATWACCATGTTATGTTATTTTATATTCCAAATGGGGTAGATGGTGGGAGCATTTTGTTTTGTGGTATTCCCTYCGGAGTTTATCTCTGAGACTGAATGGAAAGATACTTTCTCAAGTGACACAGGTACTTTCTGATGTGGAAACAAAAGTTTTCACACACTCATGGCACCCGCTTCTATCCCATTCCCATGTCAGTTCTGATTCCTTATTTTTTCAGTTTTATTTTTCTATTCTGAGTCCCAGAAAATAGGACTGAGCATCTTCGAGGTGTGCTTTCCTGTCTGTTCTGTAGCTTCCTATGTGAGGAAGTCGTAAGTTGGAGGTATAGGGTCCTCTGCAATTGTCCTTTGTGGCAGGCTGTGCCAGTYGAGAGATAAAATAGCTGATGACCTTGAACTAGCTCTTGATATCCTTCTAGAAGAGGTGCCTCAATTTGAGGCTCATGGTTACCTTGGGGTGTTAAGACTTAAGTGTTAGAGGGTTTTGAACGTTTTAAAATTATTCAYTACCTTTTGAATGTAAATATGGATGTGTTTTCCCCACTATAGTCTAAGTATTCCTTCCCTCAAATCCAAATAGAAATGAGACMAGATGCAACTTCTCTTCATAGACTTGGTTTCCACATTTCTTTAAACTCTCTTAAAGAAGCATCATTTGAACCCTGTCCATTTGTCCCCTCTTGGGGGTACTGGGGATCGAATCGAGGGGCATCCTACCACTGAGCTACATCCCTAGCCCATTGTTATTTTTCACTTTGARACAAGGTCTCAYTAAGGGGCTGAGGCTGGCCCCAAACTTGCAATTCTCCTGCCTCAACCTTCTGAGTCACTGGGATTGCCTGCACGTGCCGCCGGGCCTCRCTACCCTGTCCATTTTCACCTACATGGGCACTGCTATTTTTTTACTAAGTTGGAGAACATGAGAAGACGTGGGTGGTTCCAGCTGGGAATTTGAGGGATCAGAGGGCAAGTTGGTTTTTTTTTTTTTTTTTTGAGCATTTCCCATCTCTTTCTCCTCATTCCCTAAGTGTTTAAACACCATTCCTGCCTCTCCCTGCAGGAATAGGTGAGTGAGTAGCCCACCAGCGGTAGTTGTTCACATACTTTGCAGGTCTTTGGACTCACAGGAGGAGATAACTGGAAAGTGACAGTATAAGAGTGTGTAAGAGTATAAGAGTGGGTAGGTCTCAGTGATCCTCGGCCCTCTCAGCAGCATGAGTCAGGAACAGTGAGTCACTTGGTGTTGCCTCCTATAATTTATTCATAATATCTGTGTTGCTGGCTGATGTGGGGCTAGTTTTATTATCTTTGTTGATTTTATCATCATCATCCTCATCATCATCATCTTCTTCTTCTTGCAATACCCATGTTTCTCTTTCTTCCATGGCATATTGCAAATACATCTATTCACTTAGTACTTTTTGTTGTTGTTGTTGTTGTTCAGCTCTTTTGTTCATCCGGAGAAAAATAATTCCTGTAATAATTTATTTATTTCACCTGCCTCAGTCTATGTTCATTTCTTAAGCACTACATGTCAARCAATTCACTAGTTCTGAGGTTACAAGGATGAGTAATGTGGAAACTCTGTTTCCATGTTATTCACAGTTCAATGGAGGGTGACAGTCAAAAGAAGCAACACAAAAATTTGTTTTAAGTGCATGTACAAAATTGTTGTTTGGGGTCAAGAGTATTTTTTTTTTTTTTAAAAGAAGAATTAGTCACATCTATTTAGGAGGTYAGGAAAAAAAATTCATAGTGACTTGATGTGTAATTAACTTTGTGTGGTGTTGGGTTGATTGATGTCTGGGGTGGGTGAGAGAGGGTGATCTAGGGAATAGGAAGAGCCTAAGTAGAAACACACCAGCCTGAAGAAGCCAGAAGTGTTGGGAGGGCAGGGGGTTATTCACCTCTGTCTGCCTATTATTATGTTGAGTATTCGCTCAGCAAAAGTAGGTGCTAAATTTATCTTTGGATGAATGAACATGCAAAGACCTATTAAGTATAAGGTCTTGTCCAAGGCTCTCAAGGCTTATTATGTTTTGATAGATACATCCTATCATATTCCCTCTGCCTTACAGAATTCCTTCATCTAAAGACAGCAGAGGATAACAGAGTAGAGGTGACCATYTCCCATTATAGAATTCTCTAAACATTGCTCCCTTGCTCCGTAAACTCAGTTGACTGTTTATCAAATATTTACAATAATCAGCCACTTAAGACTGCACTAGGAAAAGAATCTGGTTTTGTTTGTTTGTTTTGTTTTTACGTGCTGAGGATTGAACCAAAGGCCTCAAACATGCCAGGCAAGTACTCTACCCCTGAGCTACATCTCCAGCCSTCAAGTCCCTCTTTGGAAGGAAACTGTATTAATGCTGTGGATTAATGTTTTAAGCCATAACCAGGGGCAATGACTTTGACAGACTTAAAATTGACCACGTGATAGCTAGACCCATAAAAATCCAGAATTATTTCAAAATTTATCTTTTAGGAAAAAAATTATTTAAAAGACGATTATGGATATTAAAACTTCTGATTTTTCTCAGTGATGACTCTGTAGCTTCTTCAGAGAAAAGCCAGTTGTACTTGATATTTTTTTCACATTTCCTGATTGCAACCCATGATGGATTAGAGGAGAAAATAGCTGCAATACTCCCAATGATAAATAGAATAAAATATTTTATTAATGAGGATACTTGTTTCTGGGGAAAAAAAAGAGAGGAGGAGAGTGGCAGGAGAGAGAAAATTGGGCCCAGGTTGTATGGCCGGCAGGAGGCACACAGAACTGAACTTTTAAGAAGATGCATTTAAAGAGGTGTRTGCACATGTATGAATGTGTGTGTGTAAGCATGTGTTCACATGCCTACCTGGGTGTTTCTGGGGGGAGGGAGCTAACATTTCGGAGTTTTAGATGTGATGGGCATCGTGGTAAAAAGTGCTTCATTTGCATCATTTTGTCCCTGATATTTCTATAGCTCTTTGAGATCATATTTATGATCTCATTTGATTCTCCTAGCACTTCCATAAAGTAAGTATCAGTGTCCCTTTTTTTATATAAATCCACAAAGAGTGAATAGTTTAAATAATTTTCCCAAGRTTTTATAGATCTTTAGAGAGAGAAGTAGGACTAAAATAGAAATGAGCCTCAATTACAAATCTGTTCAGCCTAAACTCCATGATTTCTGTTACTTCGTTCATATCCATGAACACGCATAATTTATTAATTCTCCTCAGGGAGTAAACTAGGATGAATAAGTAAACTTTACTTTTCAGATGTTAAATCTCTATTATTTTCAGTGTTGATAGRCTTTTTTTCTGAAATGTCATAATTCCTTTCCTGTCTTTGTAACAAAGTCTATCCATGATCATGAATATATTCTTTATATTTTATCATGGGCACTTGATATATTAAGTTGGAACTGAGTTTATATTAGGACCCTTTCTTCTTAATTAAATGATCCATATRTTYCAGAATTCTRTGAAATTTGTGTTATCATTGTGTGATTTCYCTTATTTATCTAGCTGGTTCATATAACAAATATGACATGCATGCCCACTCTATGTGTCAGGCACGGGGTTAGGCCCTAGAGATGCAGAGATCAATAAGTCCTGATCCTTGATTTGAGTAACAGTCTACTTGCAACCCATTTGTAACCAAGTACTAAATTAATGCTAAACACAGGGTACTGAAGAACCCCAGAAAAGAGAATAGCCTGTCTTGGGATTGGTGAGTTTCACCCTTGCACATATTGATAGGAGAAGTCAAAGTGAATAGGTTCAGGCTGTCTCAGCACTGTGTTGTACCGAGGATTCCCGATACCAAGCTTACTCAGAGACTCAAGAGCCTGAAGGTTTATGAATCCAGAATCTCTGTGATTTACCTGCAGTGTTTGGCATACAATAAGTGCTCAATACACAGGAAATTGTGACCCATAGCCAACGGAAAAGCAGTCTATAAGAACCAACTCAGAAATAATTGATTAGGACTCAGGAACTTTAAAGTGGCTGGTGTATTATAGGTACAAGGACTTCCAGGAAAAYATACCTACCGGTAATGAGTAAACATGGAATTTTAGCCAAGAAATCTAGACCTAAAAATTAAAATATTYGAAATGAAAAATTTACTAATATGCTTAACAATAG